TGTAAAGCTGCCTTGTTTTTCTCCAATGGCCCGTTGCTCAAGTTTGGTACATTTGTCACGTATATCGCTTGCGTGGATGCTGTGACCAGACATGCGACCGTGCGGCGTTCTTTTGTAGTCTGATGCCAGTCTTAGATAAAAGTCGTGTGAAAGTGTCAGCTAAATTCCACATTAATCCTACCTAGCAGTTACAATTCACTGGATCTTTTTATCATTCGATCTCCCTCATTCTACCTACTTTGTTGTTGCTTTTTCTCGACATTTTGGCTCATAGCCATCGCATATCGAGTGACTACCTCTACCTGGGCGGTCATATATTTGTTACACAATACTGCTCATGTGTTACCTATAGCTAACCTTAGAAGTTTCTGCCAACTTTCACTCCAAGTGAAAGTTAGATTTGTGCAAATCACAAACAAAACAGGACAAAGCAATACCAACCATACCGCGAACCAAACTTTTCCTTCCAAAAAATTCCAGCTCAACCGGTGACCACATACCACAACTTCCCTACTACACGGTTTCTTTTGTAAAACATTGTAAACCGGAACGGAATATTTCTTGTTCAAATCATCATAATTTAAAACCACCTGTTGGTTGAAGCCATACGTTTTAGCTTTGTTCAACATAAAAAAAGCTCATACGAATTCTACATTTGATAGAAAAATGCCATATGGTCTTTACGTCTCTTGCAGATGCCCATGGCCATGAAGAATGCCCCTTGGTCGTTTTCACTCAGTCTTTCCTTTATGCTTGACAATACGAAGAGCGTTTTGACATATCATCATTTGCTACACATAGACCTTTGCACTAAATCTATGGACAAAGCAACACCAACGTATCAAATATCTCCCACTGTTTTTGTAAACAAAAATTCAACAAACACATGTGCTTGTGTAACAAACATAGGATTGCTAATGTCCTTAGATAACTCTGGTATGAAAACAAGTCGAACAGAAGGGAATGTAAGTCTTCTTATCTTATAATCACAGCTTTCACACGAACACAATAGGAAACCACTGGAGCCTGTGAGGCAATAGGGAAAAGATTTCCATACTTTATAGATGCAACAGATGGTTAAAGGCATCCAGTGCAGTTTTTAGGGCTTGGAAACCAGATTTTTCAAAGTCAATATTCTAGTCACTTTGATTCTAGTCCATACTGAGTTGAAACTACACTGTTCCAATGTGTATTGACCCTCATGGAGCAAGCCTTTCCAACATTCTGACGGAAAACAGTTATTGGAAGGGTCGTTGGCTGATTTGTAGGGTACCACTCATAAAATAAGGGACTCATCTTGGGGCTTACCTCTGCAGTTTTAAATACCCAAAGTATGAAATACTGATTGAAATATGCTAATGTGAAGCAGTACGTGTCAATATCACAAAGATTGCTTTATTCAGAATATTTCCAGTTTTGCTGCACTGAAATCGCATTGGATGCCTTTAAACTCATCATTTGTATAATATTGTATCGTTGTTTTTTTAGTACTTAGTGCTAAAACGTAGCGTTTCATACTAAAATTGAATACTTTGTTTTATATCATCTAGACCACATATGGTCATGTGCATTTAGCATATCTGGGCAAGAATATGCAATAAATATTTTTCAGTATATTACAGACACGATGTTGCATTTGTCAATATATAAGCTATTTGATAAAAATTAACAAGGCTTTTTAAAATAATTGTTACATATGGACATGTAATTAATGTACATGCAGCTCAATTTTTTTTTCTAACACCATTTATAAATTTCTGCGATAATAACATGGTAAGTGTTAAATTTATAGGCATGTGTTAGCAATGCTAATATGCCTTATCATATATACCTCTCTACATGTTGCATGAACACTAAATAGTGATGTTTATGTTTTCGAATACTATAGTGTAAAAAGTTGAAATTGTTCTTTAGGAGCATCGTCAATGTCCTAATGTCTAGCTAGTTGATGTGTGATCTTCTCCAACAAGCAGACAGCTTTCTTACCTTAAGGATATTTGATTGTTACAGTACTATTAACCAAGTTGTCAATATCCTTTTAGCTAACGGTTATACATTATGAAAATGTTTCAATGCATTTTCTGCACACATCTAATAGTCTATGAATATAATATATACTGAGGTCAGACCATTGCATTCCTTTGTTATTGCTCATTCAGTACACATACGATTCGCTGTGAGCAAGGTATAGTATAATATTTCTACTGGACGTAGCTCTATTGGCTTAAAGATGGCAAAGTTGAACAAATTGAACTTCCATAACTACTTAGTACTCCGCCAGGTATTTCTCCAATGCCCACAAACAGGAACATACAGCATATAGACCAAATACAATTCATTTTACATCTTTGTGATTTTCTATCAAACATGGTTAGAAAGTATACCGATTTACAGGTTCACCAAAACACAAAATTTGAAGCTTTGTCTGACAGGAAATAGGTAATTAAATCCAGCTATATCGTCACAGACTAGAATATGGGAGATAAACACAGTTTTCAGTGCCTTACCTGGTAGTTCCCTGCTGCCAAACGCCGTATTATCTGTCGTAAAGTTCTTCTGATGACACCCAGACCTGACTGAAACTATGACAGGTATTTTTTGCACCATATGGTCTAGACTGGATGACCTTTTGACCTTCAGACATGCACAGAATGAATGACAGAGTAGAGAGAAGCCCGTCTCTCCAGTATGTCACCCCCCAAATATTACCCAATTGTAGTTTTCTTGGGGACCGCCCCAACTTATCTGTATTTTTCCAAAACAAACTTATACTGTTAGGAATGTTGATAAATGTCGTAATGATATCATTGGTAGACGTTAGATGATCTGACTTCTGTTTTTCAGTGCATTGCACATATGCGACAACAGAGTGTGTAAATAGTGCTTACTCTGGTACTATTACCATTATTGTAATCTCTTGGGAACACATGGAATGACTTCATCAACTTAAGCATAGAGTAAGTGAATTCCTATGTTCTAGGCCTTTGTTACTGAGATCTTTAATTGATGGTATGTTAGAAGTTGCTACCATGAGACGTTAAGGCACTTTATAAGCCATTCACTAGTAGCTTTATCGAGTTATTTTGGTAAGGTCCAAGTTTCTGACTTGTATGACAAGACGAATTCTACAGTAGCAAAATTTCCATATCTCACTAATTATGCAAGTAGCATCTGTTCCAAAAAAAAGAGCTTTTCTGTCTTCAAAGTCTATTTCAGAGTTTTCAATCTGAGGGTTGAGATATCTAAAGTTTTTGACCACTTCTATGGTGTAGTTTCTAGTTTTTCTAGTTATTTTGTTAGGGTCCACGTTTCTGAGCTGTATATCAAGAATTCTACAGTGGCAAGATTTACATATCTCACTAAGCTTGTGGCATCTGTTCCAGAAAAAAGCAAGAGCTTTTCTGTCTTCAAAGTCTGTTTCATAGTTTTCAATCTGACAGTTGAGATATCTAAAGTTTTTGACCATTTCTATGTAACAACTTCTAGTTTGGATGATAACTGTACTGCAACAGTCGTTTTTCTACATGATACATGCTTATGTTATGATATTAACATGTCTTATAATGCTGTAGGTTTCCCCAATAGTAAGTTGCTAGTGTGAGAACGTTCTTTACACACCACCTGTGAGGTTGAAACTGTACCTAATGACTTCTTCAATTGTGTTACAAACTATTACTTAACGGTAACATTATCAAAGACAGAGTCCCACGCTCCTAGAATTGAACTAGAATCCAACAAAGTAATCAAATCAGTTGCTACCTTTCTGATTACCACCCATTTCAAATTATTTGTAACCTAACCGAGTTTTAGAAGTCGTCCAACTTGTCAGAAAATAATCATTCTGACGTTTGGAAACTTGTAATTATCTTAATTCGATTCCTTGACATGCCTTAAGATGGTACAAGACAAGGACGTTCTCACTCAATTCTAGCCGCCAATCAAGAAGACCAAAACAGAGCCGCCATTCTTTTTACAGATCGTTCTTTGTGATTGCGTTAACGTTTTAGGTATTACTAAGTCAAAACAGAAGGATTGAAACTCTATAACAATTACTTTTTATCTGTATTCTTAGGATTTATGTTGAACTATAAACTGAGTCTTAACATTAAATCATAATAAACCTTCCCACAGAAACACCTGGTCATACAAGCACACCTGTAAAAGAATTATGGTTGACAGGACACAAAAAGCTTCATAAGGGGGAGGGGCCAGGGAAATCTGCCACTCTTAAAACTATGTAGCCATCAAGCCAGGCGTCTTAGGCTATAAAACAACCCTGCAATTTACAGGCTAATTCTTCTTCGCAGTAGGTAATCTTCAGTTGATCTCCTACTTAAGTCAGACGTGGATGTCTTGAGGAAGAAGACATGGGTAGCTTAGAAGAATAGACAGGAAACAAGAGACGGGACGGGAGCTTTTGAAGCTGCCAATCTGATTTAGCACGAATACAAGTCGAGGTTTTTCCATTTCTGTTCTTCGAGATTCGATTTTGTCGGGCAACCTTGGAGCTGAACAAGAGCTAAGGAGAGACAATGAGGCCGGTGTTTGGGTCCTGTGCGCGTGTAATTTGGACGAGGGTCGAGGAATGGCAAACTCGCACGGTAGTTAAACGGTGTGAACAGGCTGAGTGCACCACCCCAGGCTACACTCTATCCACCCTTTATCCCTCCACAGTTATGCCGGTACGGCCATTATAAAACACGCACTTGTTGCTGTGCTACAGCTACCACTACAGCAGCGATCATATCTAAATTGATCGGAGATTACTTCTAGTCTCTTGAGACCCGTGCTGATACTCTGCAGACGACTCTGAGTCTTTCAAATGCAAGAATGTCATCAAATTTGTCCTTTTCATAAGCCCGGGCTTAACAATTGTTGCTGTTTATTAATATGCTAACGCAAAGATTAACACTCAGTGCATTGCAAGATACAGGTGCATGTCGTATGTCAAATAGGAGAGGGTATGTAAGATTCTACGAGGTACAGTGGGGATGCCTTACCTTACGCTGGATTGACGCTGGTGCAACTGAACAACCACCTGTTAAGCTAGGTCCCTGGTCACTTCTGCAACCCAAGATACGTTAACTCTCTCATGGGACGATCGGTTCTTTTCTCAGAAGGCACCGTCTTGTCAAGACAGATCGTCCCCCGGTGGAAAATTGACGGGCACTGGCCGCCAGGTTGCCCCGACAATTAAGTGACCACGTGGGCTGGTCGCATGTCGACGTCCCGCGCTCCTGGGGCCACCTGGTCGTTCCACAAGATGGCGGCCGTCAACAAAGATGGCGGCCGTCAACAAAGATGGCGGCCGGTCGAACGGTGGTTTCCCGATTGGTGATAATACATAATCAGCCCACCGAACTGGATCTGTGGGGTTTAGAGGGGCACTGTAGCGTGCGAATTCAGCCGAGCAGACGACGTTTTAGGATGAGGTGTAGATATCGTCTTCATCTCTTATAAACAACATCGTTTTAAATGCTGATTGTAACAGTCAGATACCCACTGAGTGACAGATGAACATAGTAACTTTGTACGAGTTAGAGCATGTGTATAACAAGGTGCTTGTGTCTTTTATAAGTAAGAAGTAGCGCTTGAGGATTTTTAATTCACTTTTCTGTTCATTGTAGTGTTTACTATACATTTATCATTTCCTATGTACACCTGCGATTATCATTTGGGCATGGATTTACAATGAAGTTATCATATATCTCATATATAACTTATATAAGTCCTGAATGCTAAGCCATTTTCAATTTAGTGTATTTGACAACACAAAAATATCCACTAAATATTTCTAACCACGCTTTGCTATTTGTATAAAAGAAAGATCGGATTCATTTCTCAATAGTTACATCACATTACTCCCTTAATAAGACATCTGGAGCCGCAAAGTTCTCGTTTAGTAGAACTTTTATTCAGCCGGTCACGACCGGTTTCGTCCTGTGTGCTTCTTCAAGTGTACAGAGGCTAAACAAACGTTGTGGTGTTTGTTTCTAGTGACAGAAACACTCCGTCTACAGTTTATACCGTCCCACACGGCCTCCAGACGACAGGTTGCCTGTTGGTGCATACATCTGTTACCGGCTGTTGACTGTAAACAAGTTTAGATAATGTCTAAATTTCCGCTTGAGTCTACCTGTTCCTGTCACCGGGTCGTGTTTTGGTGATGGTTCAATGCAAAGGTATAAAACGCTTGAATAGTTACAGTCAAACATGTCTTGCCTTGTCTGGTAACGTTTTGCAACTTTCTGGTAGGCCTGGTTCTGTGTCTGTATCAGTATACCCTGTATAACCGCCATCCGGCGTAACACACCACTCGGCGCGGCGGCAGTTAGCTATATCACACCGAACGACTTGTTACACTCAATCTTTGCACATTTAATTGCAGGAGTTGTTTAAATCTTTCTAGTGATGATGCCCCCAACTGTGCTTGGTGGCAACGAGTTCCAGTCTACGATAGTTCTTGGGAAATACGAGTTTTTTGAACACCTTTAATTCTTGGTTGATAACTCTGATATTTGAAGGCATGACTGTTTCTTGTTCTTTTCTGGGCTGGTATCAGGTCCTTAGTGGTTGGTACGTCCACCAGTTTATTAGTCATTATGGTTCTTGGAAAAAATGGCTCAGATTTTGGAACTACCCAGCAGCTTCCTTACGAATTGCAGCTTCCTATAACTGTAGTAGAGTAAGTTCGTTAGCCAGCCTATCCTCTACTAGGCTTCAAAGCGACTGGAAACAGTAGAAATTGACCAAATAGACAGATAATCAAATTCATTGACACATCACACTCTATGCTGTTCATGTTGTAAAATGTTTTAAAATCATCCTAAATGATGATGCCTGAACATTTCCAGACGTTTCCTAAGTCGATTACCGACAAGAATGGCTGGGACATAGGACCTCATAATTGTCTTTTACTTCACTAAAAACATAGGACAAAGGACCTCATACTTGTCTTCTACATTACTAAAAACGGACAAGAATTACACAGGTAATTTCATCATCATCTGATGTAAACGACACCCCCAAATTACGACCATGATCACCATACAAATCATTACTAATCATGGTTTCATGGTTTCTTGATCATGTTAATTTAAATTGTGTAAAAAAATGTCATATAAATATACCTGTTTTCATTGTTAAGTCTTATCTGTTTATTTTTAGTAAGATTATAAGATAAGGTAATTTTGAAATATATCCTTAGGTCAAAATCAACGGTCTGGCGTACGTTCTGTACTTTGTCCTTTGACCTCTTCATTCTGCTGCAATGTGACCTCTCTTACCCTTAATAATCGGGGCCTGGGGCGGAATTTAATGAAGCGAACATCGGGTAACCCCTGATGAACACCTGTGTGTGCAGGCCGTTTGTTTACTTCAGACTTCGGCGATACAGTGAGCAAATGTCGGGCCATTTTTACATCCGTTTGCAGCGTTCGAACTCAACCGCCGCCATCTTTGTTTCCGCCATTTTGTTTCAGACGATATCTACATGACACCTACGGACGTTAAACAGCTATAAACCTGGTTCCGGGCCTTTATGGTGACTTATATGACACCTATTTCTTGCGACAGACTTTTGGCAATACAGTATATGAATTTCAAATGATCTGGAAGCATCTATAATCGAATAATTTGTACATGACTGTACTCAGGGTGCAGGGCACTGAAATCACGCACTTTAGGAGGTGTCAGTGGCTACATTGTCTGTATCACAAAGAGACCTTTGAAATATTACCACACCTATGTACAGCAAAAATTGTCAGTTGTTCTTTGTTTTGTCACAACATAGACTGTTGACATACACACAGAGCACACGTGCTGTATTCTACCTGTTCTAATTTATCCCTGCAATTCGCCTGTCCTTCATTTTTGGACCAAAAGCTAATCTTACTGATTTTATACCTTACATTTTAGTACCAATGATCTTATTTAGAATCCCTTTAGAATTGTTTTTGTAGCAATGCTTTTCCATTTATTGAGCACACTGAATGGGTTAAAAAGCGCCCCTGGCGTCTTCTGAAACGCAGCTATAGCGTTTTAACTGTGCCCAGTCTTTCGGCCAATTACTCACATTTTGACAGACAGGGGTCGACACATCGGTTGATGTGGTAGGTACGTTTCTATTGTGTGTGAGGGAAAAGTATTTTAGCTCCAGGCTTGGAGTAACCACATAACCTTTCATCGCGCCATAGTAAAAGCCCCTTCTCTCTTCTTTTGTGAAGTATCCCAAATCCAGGTTTTTCCAGCGGCAAACGCAATAAGAACTCCCGGCGTTGTCCTCGCGACTTTGCCCGTTGGAGGATTGTCATGTTTGAGGGTATTGTCAGCTCGGTGTTTGTTGTAGGTTTGCAGGAGGTTAAGTTGTGGAAACAGGTGTTAGGAAATAAGCTGGGTATAAAATGTGCACAGGTGACGGAGCAGCTTCGGGGGAAGAGATTCCAACGACCCGAAGTGCCCCCCTCCCCACAATAAGGTGACAAGAGAAAGGCAGAAGGAACACCTTGCCACAAGAATGCAAGACGGAGTTGAAATGGAATTACAAGTCAAACAGACGCTGTGAAAACACTTGAAAATTCTCACAGCACCCTGAAGCATCCATCTGACGATGCCTTTCAAACAGCTTTTAGAATTTGAACTTTGTCAAGTTATTGTTATTTTGTTGTAGTTTTGTCGTTGCGAATCAAGTGTATTTGGCACGTACTGTGGATTGTTTGTTTACGACGTTAAGGCTGCCTACCGTCTAGTTTATCCAAAAGCATAGACCTTTATTTGAGCAAAGTTTCAAAGCTAACTTCTGAAGAAGGTTGCCAGATCTGAAAGCCTTTGATTGAAACTTCTCAAACGAAGCCATTAAATAAAACCATCTCTAAAATAGGAAAAAAAACACAATGTTTCTTTACGCCGCAGTCCTTTTAAGTGACGATCTCAACAATAATTGCTCCTTTCTTCACTCTTTAGGGACTCATTAACAGTTGATGATTGATCTCTGTAGTGGATACATCAGAAATTGAACATGTATCCCTCTGTGGATTTTTCCTCTGGTGGATAAAACATTCAAAACATCCGGTGTAATCGTGATTGATTTTTGTTTTGTTTCTCAAACAACACAAGTCGACCCAGATTGTCAAAGGCAAAGGATGACAATAATAAAGGAGATGGTTTTGATTGAACTATGGTCCCAGTAGTCCACCCACATGAGCCCGAGGTTCCCTGTTTTGATTTGAAATTAAGCGCGTGTTTCTGTCGCTGCACAACTGTTTACGCGAAGATGACCACCGTTGGTGCGTTGTAGCAGCGTCCTCTTGGGATGTATGCGAAAATCGCAGAAAACTTTTGTAAGCATGCTGCATATCGTAATGATGCTCAATACCTATGAATAAACTCGTATTTCCCCAGAACTATCGTAGACTGGAACTCGTTGCCACCAAGCACAGTTGGGGCATCATCAAAAGAAAGCTTTAGACAACTCCTGCAATTAAATGTGCAAAGATTCAGTGTAACAAGTCGTTCGGTGTGATATAGTTAGCTGCCGCCGCGCCGCGTGCCTGCGAAACTGGTGTGTTACGCCGAAGGGCGATTATACCGGCTATACCGATACAGATATAGACTATGCTATCATGAAAGTTCATCTATGGCTATACATTGTTTATAATTTTTATGGAACCACAAGAAGAAAAATCACACCACACATACCGATCAACATTCTTGACTCTCGCATTGTTTCATATGACAGTCCGTTAAATTACACAATTCTCTTTCTGCCCTCCAAAACACACCAAACCCAATTAAATGCACAAAATCATACAGTTAACACGACCAGACTTAAACATGACAAAATACATTCCTGACGCTTTCTTGTTTGTAAATTTCATATAAGGTACGCAATTAGACATATCGAATAACAGACTTCATATACTGTACAGGTATATACTGTTCCTAGTTCCTAGAATACAATACCGATATATATATATATATATATATATATATATATATATATATATATATATATATATATATATACTACTACTACTACTACGT